GAAACAACACAAAATGTATGCAAGGAATAGCACACACTTTATTAGGTGATATAATTTTAATAAAATTTACATTACTATCCTCTATTTTTAAGGAGCTTAAAATTTGCTAGGAACCATAAAATTACAATGTCCAGTTCCTATGGATCATCAACAGTATTCTCAACACTGAGTAAACTTACTATCAAACAATACATATATAACTAAAACTCAGCTCACTTTAATAGATATAATTTCACCATTATATGTTTCTCTCCTTCTATTCCAAGATTAAAAAAAAATTTTAAGTTCATAGAGAAATCTTCATATATTTCACTGTGAATGCAGTGAGATTGCATCATGTAGACATTTTATTTCCATGAATTCAACCATAAGCCCTCAGGGGGAAAAACAGGATTTCAAAGTCATAGACACCATTCCAACTACATAATCATGCCTTCCCCAAGGAGCAGCACTAAGCAAAAGTATGAGAAGGGAGCTGTCCAGTTACCTACGCCTCTCTCCCTGTATGCATCTTGCCAAACTCTAATCCTAGTGTTTAAAGTATTTCTGTGAAACAAAGCCCCTAATGTAAGCCAACTTCATCTAGTGCTCAACTAACAAAATTTTTGCAGCTTCTAAAGGAAAAACTAGCTATTGTGCCCTTCTGTGAGAAACAGAAGACATACAATACTTCAAGATCACTTTAAGAGATTTCTAAGGATAATTTTAATTAAAATTTCTTTTGATCATGTTTGATAACTTTACAACCTAACTATTGTAACATACAACTCCAACATTATTTTGGCAAGAACATAACAGACTTTAAAGCAAGTACAAACTTCTTTCTAAAGTCTACATTCAGAAACATATTCCTGAAACTTGTGTAAGTCAACTCCATATATCTCTTTATAGTTATGCTTGAGTCACCCAACTTACATTTTCCCCTCTGAATTATTTAACCTGATCTAAATCAATTTCTACATTCTTCCTACTCATAATCAGAGCTAGAAGGTACTTACAAATCACATAGTCTATTCTTCCTTTCAAGCTTGTAGAGTTGGCTGGAGATTTCCATTCAGTGAGTTTCAAGTTACAAAGAAATTCTTTATTCCTCAACCAAAATGAATTTTTATATAAAGGTAAAAATTTAATTGTACACATAAGTTTTTAAAAAACAATTTTTATAAAGTGATTATTAAAATGCACTAAAACAAAGTATCTCTCTGGAATTTAGAATCCTCAAATCCTGACTAAACTTTAAATCCTATGGAGAACAGTTTTAGTATTTCTCAATGATCTCCAGAGAAACATCAGGAAAGTCCATAAAATTCAGCCTCTTTACAAAATTTATTTTTTAATACAACTGCTTTATAATTCTATTCTCTAATATATTTATAATCCTTATCCCTATGTTTTATATTTTAATCCTTTTCTTTAAAGTAAAAAACACCATACAGGCTTGAAAATTGTTTTTAACAAAACGTGCAATATATTTTAAAAATTGTATTTAAGAGTTTCATTCAATCTGTATATTAAAAAAGGTAGAAACAATTTTTCATTTTTGGAATGAGGTATAAACATTAAGAGGATCCATGTTAAAGATCATTTGTCCAGTATCAGCCTAGACCAAATCACAGATACAACCACTTGTCACATCATGATATAATTCCCTAAAACCCACTTCTTGGTGTACATCTTTGCTTTCTTTTAAAAGATTAGTACAGAATGACAAATGTGTTTTATACTGTTTTATTTGTTAAAGATTTTATTTAGCCCTGGCTGGCATAGCTCAGTGGATTGAGCGCAGCCCTGCAAACCAAAGGGTCACGGGTTTGATTCCCAGTCAGGGGCATACACCTGGGTTGCAGGACAGGTTCCTACACGTGAGAGGCAACCACACACTGATGTTTCTCTCCCTCTCTTTTTCCTTCCCTTCCCCTCTCTAAAAATAAATAAATAAATCTTTTAAAAAATTTAAAAATAAAAGATTTTATTTATTCATTTTTTAGAGAGAAGGGAGAGAGGGAATCATCAATGCGTGAGAGAAACACTGATCTGCTGCCTCTCCCACACACCCCTACCTCACCCCAACTAGGGACCACCTGCACACCAGACATGTGACCAGACCAGAATTGAATCAGAGAGCTTTTGCTCTGCAGGACACCGGTCAATGCTTACATTGAAATTTAAAAGGGACCTTTCAGATCTTTGAAACAAAGTCATAAATGTAAAAATCATGGCTTAAAGTTCTTTGTAAAATTCTAACTACAAAAATGACACCCACTTAGGAAGCATTACCTACTTTTTTAGCTTAATTAACTGCTTAAGTCTGGGATGAACACTGTACCTTCACAATAAGGGTGACCCTGAAAGGCCAATCCGCACAGTTGTGCCGTAACCTTTTTTAATCATAGGCCTCTTTGAGAATCTAGTAAAAGCTAAAAAGCCTCTTTTCAAGAAATTCCACAATGTGCACATACAAAATTTTACTACAGTGTTAAGGGGAGGAGTCACTGTAAAATTGATTAGACCCAGAGAAACAAATTGCTATCATTGATCAGAGAAGACAGTCTTAAAACATAATACTTAGGTATTTATACACACTCTAATGAGAATAAGAGTATATCATATAAGCATTTGGAGTTAAGGTTGTAGGTGAATGGTGTAGTAGCTTTTGATTCAAGGTACGTAACTGTCCCAAGGCCACAGTAGCTAGCTGGTTCTGCTAATTGTCCATCCTTGCTCTACAATCCAGAGACATAAGACCCTATGCTATCTCATCCCTACCTTGACCTCCACCTCTTATCATCTAGACTGCACCAAGCTGCTCTGATCAACTATAGCTACTGTTAACAAGTAGCCATTCAGTCTGCCCTTTAACACCTTCAATGACACAACTTAAGGCTTCAGAAAACAGGTCATTCCAGTTTTAGGCAACTCTAAAGAATTATAAAGTTCTTTTCTATTTTTACTAGATTAATTTGTAAATTTTAAATGCTGCTCTACTGAATTTCTCTATTTACTAGCCAACAGGTAACAAAACTGTTCACCATTCGCTAATCCTAAAGCAAGGAGCAAAACATCTTTTAGCTTTACTTGTACTAAACAGGAACATCAGAATTATGTTGATAAGCGCTTTGTATTTGGAAGTCAAAATATTAAGAGGACTGGTACTGGTTCAGTTCAAGAAAGATGCAAGGTTTCCATGTACACAACATTTACTACAATGTTGAGCTCCTTTTCACTGTATAAAACATTTTAAATGCATGAACATTAAAAGATTAAGATTACAGTCACTTAAAATTAACATCAGTTCTCCCTGTAAATAGTTTATTCTCTGTATTTCTATGTATGTCTGGGATTCTGTAATACATAATTCTAATCAATGTAATATAAATATAGAATTCATTATTTATTCATTAAAGGCTGGCTTTCAAGAACTACAAGTTGTCTCTGTCACCTTCAACAGCTCCTTTTCCATAATAAGCAATCTCTCTTGTTGAAACCAGTATTATTAATAAGATCCTAAAGCAATTTCTGATGTAAATGCTTGTTTCCTTTGAAAACAAAAGTAGATATGAACAATTATATTTGATATTTTCTTCCTTAAATAATCCCCACACTAGTGCTGGACAAAAGAGTTACAAATATTTTGCAAACAGTAACTGATTTATCCAAACCAGATCAGAAAAAATGTTAACCACTAGTTAACTGGATAAACAATACAGAAAAGTCTCATTTTCAAAGAACTACCCCAGGGGAATCTCTTTCGTGGGCTGTCTCAGGGAGCCAAAGAATGCAGTCCTGAGGAGGCAACTACCTTGCATGGAGCTTCTTTTTGGCCCTTCAATAATTAAATTTCCTGTAGGAATACAAAGACAGTCCACCTAAATGAACTCTGTCTTATTTTGCATATTGCATTGGGGCACTAGTCAAGTAAGTTTATATGGTAGGTTATACAATAATCCCTTGGTAAGAAATAAATTTCCTGATAAATACCACTTTTCTACTTTCCCAGAGTGGCTTGAAGAAAGAATGCTTTTTTAAAAACACAAAAAACCCAAAAGCCTAAAAAGACTACGCCACACATACCATCATCACCTTATCAGAACTGTATTACATATAAAAGGCACTTTGAAGCTCAGGAAGACAGTACGCCCAGCATTTCTCTTGTGACAACATTATGTACTGAATGATTTCAGTAGATTCTTCCAGCTGAAAGTGGTTTCATCCATCACAAAAAATGTGTGCTGTAAAATTTCCTTACACTTCAGATTGTTGTATACCCTACTATTTAAAATTGAGTCAGTTTTAAATGAACTCAATATATAGTTGTACCCAAGCAAATACTATCCATCTCTAAGTAGCTTAACGTCCGTTTTTAACACAAAATTCTTTCACCAGCTTGTTATTAATATAAAATTGGACACTCGAAATAGCTTACTTAAAGCATGGACTATAGATAGTCAAACACTGCCCCACCCCTTGTAAGAGTGGATGACTGGAAATTTATTTTAATACACTCCACGCAGGAGTACAGCTATACAGAACCTTGATATTGGCGACAGGAGTTGCACATTTTCCTGTACAGTTCATTCTTAAGTAGATTTTGCATCATCCAAGTGGATTTGCCTCAAGTCCAAACGTCACCAACATTCGGGTAAACTGAAGATAAGTAATTGATAACCACAAACCCTGTAATATCCCCCTCCCAGCATCCACTTGTGCATGTTTCTCATTTCTTTTAATGTGAACTCACTAAATTTAAAGAAGAATTAAGGCGTTATCCCGGGTAACTGTGCAATTAAATGTATTAATCGGGAAGTTGGAATCACATTATGAAAACTTGAAAGAGTAACGATAAAAAACATGTTGCGAAGAGGAAAAGATCTATTGCTTAAACACTGAAAAATCTTACATTTTTAAAAACGTATTTGTGGGACGCCAACCAAGATTTCTAAAATCCACCCCTCCCCCTCGCCTAAAGTTCTCCCCTCCTCGCAGTCTGGGATGCTACTCACCGAGTTTTTCCACCAATTTGAGCATCACCCCTCCAATGTGCACCTCTCCAGTCACTCTTAGGGTGACATCGCGGCTCAGGTCCGTCACATGAACACTCAGTTCCCACGTCCCATCCGCATAGCAGCCATCTGGCATCCTTATCCCGTCCAGAGCCATGGCTCCTTCCTGCGAGCACGGAGGAAATGGCTCTCGTAAGCGTCACTCCTCCCAAGGAAGGCAAATCCCACCGAAAGCACCGAGTCGGCAACGGGGGGGGACGTGAAGGACGCGAGCGTTTCCGCACGAACTCGGGAGAGCGGCGGCGGGGGCCGGGCTGCGGGCAGCACTCTGTGCCCCCGCGCCCGTTCCCGTCGGCCGCCCTGCGCTCCCGCCCCGCGGCGGCCACCACGTCACCCGCCCGCACGGCCCCAGTCTAGCGGACCGCAGTGGGCTTCACCTGCCCGGCCGCACCCCGGCCGACGAGACGCCGCCCGCGGGCCCCACATTCCTCCTTCTCCTCCTGACCACCCGTGCTCCCCACCGAGGTATCAGCCGAGGTCCCTGCCCCTCACCGCGCGCCCCTCGCGCTCCCAACCTGCGGCTCGCGCGGCAACAGCGCGAAGGCGGTGGCTCGCGGGGCAGCGGCGTCCGGTTCGCCCACCTTAACCGGCAAAGCGCAGCGTCCCGGCTGGAGCTACTAATGGAGTCCCGTCGTCGCGGCCCCTCGCCTCTCACTCCCGGGGCTCCACCCCTCTCTCCCCGCCCCCTCAGTTGGAGTCCAGCAGCGGCTGGGCGCGCCCGCTCCCTCCTTCCTCCGGGCCGAGCCGCCCGGAGCGGGCCGGGCTGCCGCGCCCCCTCCCCCACCGTCCCCAGCGACCGCACTCGGGGCAGGGGGCCGCGCGGACTCGGGCTGGGGGCGGGGCGGGGCGCGGGGGCGGGAGCTGAGCGAAGGGGGCGGGGGGCGCCCGCGGCGGCAGCAATCTCAGCCCCGCGGAGCCGCTGCCCTTTTATGGAAATGAAGGACCCGGCGTAGGGATAGAATCCAACATCCGGGCTCTCGCCGGGACCTGAGGAGGGGGAGCGAGGGGAGCGCGGGTGGGCAGCAGGGCGCTCCTTCCCTGCTCGCGTCTCTGGCTGTGCGGGAGCCGTGGCAGAGAGTGGTTGCGCTTCCAGCCGGTGGAGGGGGCTTGTCCGTGAGAAACGGCCACAGGAAATTCCCAGGACAGGGTAGTTTTCAGGGAACAAAGTACCTCCGGCCCCCTCCCCACGCTTGGAGAGGGACCAGAAGTCTCGGGGCGGTGAGACGTGCCGCACTCCAGGAGCTGGAGATGAGGTTTGGGACGTGAAAACTTTGAAAAGTAGTTGCTCAAGCCAGCTCCGTGAACATCCCACAAAAGAATGACAAAACCCAGAGGGAGGTGAACCACAAAAATTGCTTTGCAAGTAATGTCCGGCACAACCAGCAACTCCTACTGGACTCCCAAGACTTTGCACGCGCTCTTAACCCATTCGGAAGCTCCAGCCAGAAGTGAGCCAAATACGTCCTACGATGCTCTTGTTTAACGGGGAAAAAAAAAAAGAAAAAAATAATAAGTACAGTGGTTTTACTCTGAAACTTTCTCCAGCTCTTTTAATGTCTCTATGGGCAACTGAAATCTTACAGTCCACTAAGGCTTTTAGATGGACATACCTCCTCTACCCCACCCTCAGCCACACCTTGAAGGAATTTCAATAGCTCTGGACTGGTGCCAGCAAGTATAGGGAGGAACTAAGAACCTTACCTGTTGAGACCGTCTAGCGATGGAGAACGGTCCTCCAGCTTCCCATTTTACTTTTCACTTCCCCATTTACTGGAGTGCTCTGGCGAGTGGGCTCTCTTCAGAAACAGCTAATCAGGGGAACTGCCTCGCTGGCAAATGCATGGCTCAAAAAATGTAGGTCTAGAAGACGCGAATAAGATACCGCAGATCCCATAAAAGACCCCAGGTTTAAAAGTCTCAAAATTGTCTTGAGCTTTGTAAAACTCTTGAAAGAGGAACCCACCAGGTAAATAAGCCTTGGCTCATCAACACAATTGGGAAACCAGATTAGAGGCCTCAAGAAAAGGGTGGGACCCACAAAGGAAAGCATCGAAATTGAGTCAGATGCCAGAGGTTTGGCGCGCGCGCGCGCACACACACACACACACACACACACACACACACAAATAGGGAAAACCACTACAGTATTTTCAGCTAGTAGTCATGGAGAAATTGATGCCTCGAGTCTGTAGTCTCTCCACTCTCCAATTATTTCTACGAGTGGAGATTTCAAGTAGCTGGCTTGGAACCAGAGAGGAGAGAAGATTTATGTAAATTACGGTGTTGAAAATATATGGGGAAATGTTTTTTAATAAACGAAAATTGTTAGGGGACAACTGTACATGCAGCTGTAAAATCACAAGTTTATCTATTCTTAAATATGCAGAGAAAAAATCTGGAAGGAAACACACCACAAAATTAGGAAGCTCTCTGGATGTTGAGATCATAGGAGATCTTTTTTCTTTTTCTTTTTTATTTTCTTTTTTTTTATATTTATTTATTTTTTTTTGGAGAGGGAATGGAGGGAGAAAGAGAGAGAGAGAGAAACATCAATGTGCGGTTGCTGGGGGCCATGGCCTGCAACCCAGGCATGTGTCCTGGCTGGGAATCGAACCTGTGACACTTTGGTTTCACAGTCCGAGCTCAATCCACTGAGCTACGCCAGCCAGGGGTCTTTTTTATTTTCTAAAAACTCCAAAGCTTTGCATTCAGAACCCTTCTATCACCAGTTCAAATTGTATTCAGCATCTCAGTTTCTCTGTGCACGCCATTACATTCCCAATGATAGACCAGCGACCAGACTCCAGAGCAGGGTTTTCAGGGGTTTCCTTGTGTGCTTTTTAATATCCACAAATAAAACTTAGAGTAGAAACTTTAAATTGTATTGCCAACAAATTTACAAATACATTGGTACAAAAGAAATGTAAAACATGCTGATACCAAATCAACACAAATGTCATGGAAATAGTAGGTCTTTCCTGTGGAGAAATTGCGTTATTGGGGAAATCCTGCCTTTAAGTTTTTATGTGTTTATTTTGACACCTCATCCCACAAAGACTTATGGCACTGTATAAGGATGCATAAACTATGAGATAGAATACATTATTAATGGCACAAAACAAGAGAACAAAAAAAGATCAGAGGTAGAGGGGATAGATATTTACAATGGAAGCTAGAATGAGGCTAAGAATTGTACCTAATGACCTTCACAAGCGCTCCAATAAAGTCTGAATAACCATGGCTTCACAACCATGACTTTATAGAAGTGAAAAAATCCATGTCCTTTCTGAACATACTTGTTCCTTTAGACAAATTTCTCAAAGCTGGCTATCGTGGCTCAGAAACCCTTTTAATACTCAGCTTACACATTCTAGTTCTTTTCTTATTCTCCGTGAGTTACTTTCTGACCTTTCCACCACAGTGCCTGCTGTAGTGGCTGCTGCCCACTTGTCTGAATATTCCCTACATTTAGTGATAAAGGAGGGTGGATTTTAATACTATGAATAACAGTCCTGTTTCTTAACATTTTAAATAGCTTAATTATCACTTTATAAGAGACTTTAGCCTTGGCTTGTGCGGCTCAGTTGGGTGGAATGTCTTCCTATAAACTAAGAGGTTATGGATTCAATTACTGGTCAGGGCACATGCCTAGGTTACACAGTCATCCCTCTTCTGGGCACTATGAGAGGCAACAGATTGATGTTTCTCTCTCAGCTCTCTGTTACTCTCCCTCTCTCTCTCCCCCTGTCTGTAAAATCAATAAAAATAATAATTTTTTTAAAAAGTCTGGACTCTCAAGAATTAAAAGAGAAAAACTTTACTAGCTTCAGAAAACCAGCAGTATATGTTTGAGGACCACAAAGCACAGAAAGGCAGTGACCTTCTGTTAAGTACCATTGTGGGATAATTGGACTAGGATGGGCGCATCTGGTCCCTTAGGGCCTTCTTTTCAAATATTCCAAGTTGTTGGTTGATTTGAAGATTAAAGAGGAGCCAGACTTAAATCAGTTTTTTTCTAGTTTATCAAATGAGACCTTCAAATGCTTTTCATAAATGTTTACTTCCACCTCAAGTCTTTCAGTGTATTCAGATGTGAAATCTTAGCTGAAATCCCCCACTAGAAACTTGAAGACAGTGCAATACTTGTGGTACTTACATCATACTGAAAAGTAGCCGAGAACTCCAGTGTTTGGAAGAACAGCTCAAGCACTGAAAGCAGCAATATCCAAATAAGGTACCAAGCACTGAACTTAGATTTAGACTAAATGACACCTCACAAATCTGCCGTCAAACGCAGTCCTCCAGCTTGGTAATCCTCAGGTTGACTTCAGCTTTTTCTCTGAGCTTAAACTGTGTTTTATATTTCTAAAAGTTCAATATAAAATATAACCATGGGGTTTGAAAATAAAAAGAGAGATCGGGGGATATAAGAATAAGAAGAGGTCCGTGTGAGTGTGAATGTGTAAGGATGGTTAATAATGCTAAATGAGGCCAGCAAGATGAAATGTAATGAATTATTCCTGTCAAATACCAGGTGAGCAGAATTCACTCTCTGTCTCGGGCATTCCCTAAATTGGACCGAACTGGTAATGCTACTAAGGAGGTAGAAATCAAGGGGCATGTGGTGTGAACTCAGAATGGGAGGGGAGGTTGTAATGCCACATTTTTTGATAGAAGCAGGCAGTCACTTTAAATAGCAAGGAAAGGGCTGGCAAACAAAAACAAGAAGGATTTGCTAGGAGTGGAGCTGTTTCTTTTTTGTTTTTGTTTTTGTTTTTATTTTTTATAGAATTTTATTTATTTTTATTTTTTTAAGATTTTATTTATTTATTTTTAGAGAGGAAAGGGAGGGAGATAGAGAGAGTGAGAGAAACATCAATGTGCGGTTGCTGGGGGTTATGGCCTGCAACCCAGGCACGTACCCTGGCTGGGAATCGAACCTGCGACATTTTGGTTCGCAACCCGCGCTCAATCCATTGAGCTACGCCAGCCAGGGCTGAGCTGTTTCTATACAGACCGAAAGAAGGGCTCTGAGATAAAATGAAAGCTCTACTTTAAGGGGAAAGAAATTCACTGCTCACATTTAGTGCTCTAGATTATATTGGATTGCCCAAAAAGTCTGTTAGATTTTTTCCATACAATGGCTCTAGTAGTGCTTAGTTGCCTTTAACTTCATTCAAAACAATTTTGTTAGGTTGTATTGTGACAGCTGTCATATCGGTGTGCATTTAAAAAAAATCAACATCAGTGAAGTTTTATGCAGTCATTTTAATATTGAAGATGGAAGAAAATGCACATCATCATATTATGCTTTATTATTTTAAGGAAGGTAAAAACTCAAACATTAAAAAAGATCTGTGCAGTGTGTATGGAGAAGGTGCTATGACTGATCAAATGTGTCAAAAGTGGTTTGCAAAATTGCTTGGTACTATTGACATTTTGGCTAAATAATTCTTTGCTGTGGGGCTGTCTTATGCATTGGAAGATGTTAGCAGCACCCCTGGCCTCTGCTCTCTAGAAGTCAATAGCAAGAGATAGCCGACATACTCAAAATATCCAAATCAATAATGTTATTGGCAAAAATAAAAAATGTGTCTTTTATTTTACAGAAAAAACGTAACAGACTTTTTGACCAACCCAATAGAAAGTGTTTTGTAGAAAATAATGCTGATCGATACTTAAAACTTTTTTCCTTTAAATTTGAACATCATGTCATCTTGTGAAAAGTTCTGCCCCTATCAAAAATATGAAATGTTCACATATATGCTCGCAGAAGCAAGGTAGCTAATTGTGTGCTTGGCAGGGTGCA